TCCTCCCTTCATGTATTCACTTGCTTCAGTAACTTGAAGAATTGTTGCCTCATGAAGGCCACCTCCCACAAAGGGAAGGAGCAGTGCGGAAGGGGCAGTTTAGAAGCAAACATCAACGTCTTAGGTGTCTTATCAATTTATTACTCCAATTCAGTTATAATCCAAACACAAAACGTTCATCCCAAATCTTAATCTCACCCCAAACCATGTATCTTACAGGCACTGATACTGTATAAAGTTAGGTATACCAAATATCTCATAGCAGATTACAAATGCTAAAGAATATTTAAAATACAGAAGCATATTAAATAACTGCCTTAATAATAACTGCAAGAAAAACAAACTACAGAAAATAACATGTATAAAAAGTAAAATTTCAAAAGTTTAATTTAAAAAGAATCTACATCAGTTTGCCCCAAATATTTTTTATATCCTCTCCTATAGTCAGGAGAGCTGTCTCAATGTAAGTTAAGAGCACTGTTTTTTTCACTTCTGCATCATGCAAGCCCCATATAACCAGCAGATGTTGACAGGAAAAAGTTTTTTTTTTTTTTTTTTTTCCCCCTCCCCTCCATCTCTCGCTCAACTGTCCAGATCTCCTCTTTGCCCAAACAGGAAACTTCACAGGGAAGTTACAGCACTGAATAGAGAAAAAAAGTCTGCAAATGGTCTAAAAGCCCTTGCACACAGTATTCAAACCATCTGCTCAACTGATTGCAGTTACTGTTAGGGGGACTGTATCTCTTTCAGCCTCCCTTTTATATCTTGTGAGGAAAAAAATTGTTCTGGATTTGTGGAGAAGATCCTGACATCAACCGCTGTTAGATTTGGACCCTGGTGACCATTAGACTAACACCGGGCAGCGTGAGCAAGCTTTGGTGTTCTCTCTTTTCGGGCCTTTGGCTGACAGGGCTAGCCAGGGTGCATTCAGGGCATATACAACTGTCGGCTTGGCTACAGAAGTGGAATTACCAACCAGGAAGAACCCAACTAAACTTAATTGCTCTATTTTTTTTCCCCTCACTCTATAATATCCCCAATTCCATATTTGTCTAAGGTTTCAGGAGGATCACCATCACTTTCTCCCACCTTGCAAAAGACACAGTCCTAACTAGTGTCTCTCCCAACCTGGGGATAGGGTGCTGAAGGTAACATTCCAAAATTTTCCCAAAAAAGCAAAAATTGCAGGTCCAAATGCACCACATGTTCTTATATCCTATGGAATGATTCAGACAAAAGTGAAATCTCTGTGTAATGTATAATAACCAGAAAATGCTTGCTGAAAGGAGGCGCTGTTTTCTGAGTCAGTGATTCATTCCAGGGCCCAAGAGGCAGCCAAACCACAATGGTTACTTACAGAAGAGGTCAGGGGAGCAAACAGAAAGGAATTTTTAAAAAACAAAGTCAGAAAAGTTATTTTGAAAACATGGATGTTGATACCATATAAAAACAAACAGCAGCAAAATAAAAGCATAAAATTCTGTAACATGAAATGCCTACTGGGGGAAATGGTCCACTCTTCTAGAAATATTTTTTTTCTTAAAACTCAAATGGAAGCAGGGCTTCAAACTGATCTCACTGGAAACTGCTCCCCATTGCTTTAACACTGAACTTCTGGTTTGCTTGTCAATGGAATATGCAAAGTGATTTGACAGCTCTCCCAGCAACTAAATTACTTCAATCCCTCCACTTCGATCTTTGAGCTCATTTGCGTCTTCTGTGTTTGTCATTTGGTAAATTCTGTTACCAAAGTCAGAAGCAATCCTGGAAATAGTGTGGTTTAGAAATATTAACAGGCAAAATAGAGGGAAACAAAATCCCAGAAGAATCTCAGATCAGTGAGAGACCCTTAGTATGAAACGAAAAAGAGGAAAACTACAAGTAGTTTACTTTTGCTGCACAGAGTGCAGGCAATTTTAAGTTTATCTAGTTACGTTCAACCACCCAGGCTGATATTTTCTAAACTAGACACCAGTTTTATTTGCGTGACATAAAACTGTTTGACCATTCTAAGAACAAAGCCACAAAAAATAAGTTTTGCCCTAGACAAAAAAAAAAAATACCTCCCAAATATTATTAAAGCTATTTTACTGATAATTGTACCACCTTCATGTTTTGGAATAAGACTTGAGAACTGGAAGTGAAATTAGGTTGTGATGTTAAATTATAGTTTTGAATTAAGGCATGTTTCAGGAATTTAGTTACAAGCCTTAATAAACGTTCACAGGACAAATGAAACAGTAATTGTTCCTGAAGATTTATAACTTGCCCAAGTTCCTGTAGATTTTCATAATGATAGCAAAAGGCATATCCCAGAAACAGCTCATCTTCTGCCAAAACTAAATTGTCTGGAAGACAAACTCACCAAAATTTTTAAAGCATACTTTAAAATAAAGCAAGGTATTTTCCCATAGCCTTTTTCTCATAAAATACTAAGCAGTTCTGACTCATTTCTTGAGAAAAAGAAAAAGAACCAAAGAAAAGAACTCAGCCAGAGGCAGATATTTAACGTGATATTTCAACCTAAGAGTTAAAGTCTAACAAACTGGTAAAAGCAGCCACACACAACTTTTTGTAGTGACACATATAACGCTAGGACAAAAAGAACATTACCAATGTTTCAAATCCATTACTACAGAGAATATTAAAATTTTTAATGTACCTACATTTGATACAAATTTTTGTTCCATATTTCAGAAAAAGTAAGAGGATATCCTCATGTGACATAAGAATGATGAAATAATCTCCTATCTGTTAGTAACTTAGGGTGAGAATAAATAACATGCAGAAGGCACGATCAGGTTTAAGTCAGCATGCCTACGTAATTTTCCATATAAGCAGTTCTGAAAAGAGTTGGATAAAGGTATTTCTAGTTCCCTGGTGTTACTTTCTAGCGAGTCTTCAAATACCAGAGAAGTTCCAAAAGACTGAAAGAATGACGACAGTGTGCTACTATTCAGGAAGAGCAAATAAAGTGACCTAGATAAATAAAGATCAGCTAGCTTGACATCAGATCTAGCCAAAGCGATTGGAAAAATAAGTAAAGAATTAAGGAGAGAAATATAAGTAGTGCCAGTCCACATGGATGACACTTCATGAACTTGTAGCATGCAAGTGACCACACGATGTAAGCCCTCTAATGCCCCTGTGAGAAACTGTGAAACCAGTTTTCGTCAAAACTTTGAGTTCAACTCCTTTAGAATTAGTAAGGGCTTAAAAATTGCACAATATTCAAATGAAAAATAGGCATTTTCATTATCAGTAAGGTACTCTTTAAATGAAGCACAAAAAATATTTCAGAGAACTAACTTTCTGAACTCCAGTTAGAGTTCTTCATCAGTAGAGAATCATCACCGAATTACAACAGTCTCAGCAGTATTGGGAAGTAAATACTCACACTATTAAAAGGGTTCATCAATTACATAAAAATAAGTTAAACAAAAAACAAAAACGTTGTGGATACCACAAATTGAAGCAAATTCGTGACTAAAACAGGATGGGCATGAACTGAACAGGATGATCTGAACTGCCTGGTTGTCTGGGCATACTTAAATGAAGAAGACCCAAATATAGCACTTCATACTTCCCTATACTTAAGTACAAGAAACATAAGCCCTAACTGAAAAGTGGGGAACTGGATCTCAGAAGTCAACAGCTACAGAAGTTACGGAATAGCACTGGGCAATCAGTTCAACATGAGCATCACACTGTGTCAAAGAGCAAACCAAACCCAAACACTTATTACAGGCCTTCAACATAACAGAGGTCAAGTAGTGAACAGGACTTGAGTGATGGGTTTGATGAGACTAAGACTGGAAGAATACACATGATGCTGCTGTCCCTGTTTTCAAAACCATGTTGAAAAGTTTGAGAGCGAGCAGTAAAAAGCCAGGCAAATTACTTGAAGGCTGGAGAAAATACTTTAGAGAGCCTTAAAGAGCTCAATCTGTTTAGTTTATGGAAATGAAGATTGTGAGGCAGCATGATTATACTCTGTAAGTGCCAGAGAGGGGAAATGCCACATACTAAAGAGCTCTTTAATCTAATGGAGAAAGGCTTTACAAGAAACAAAAGATGGGAACTGAAGCCAGACAAATTCAGATTTGGAAAAAAAACATTTTTTAAATTTGAGAGTGGAATTAAGGACAAACTCTCAAGGCAAGCGATAGATCCCCTTTTCCCGGATGTTTTCAAATTAAGACCAGAGCACTTTCTGAAAAATAAACGCAAGTTAGTATGCGCTCAGAAACAATTATTGGGCTTAATACAGAATAAACACTTGAAATTTCATGGCCTACAGTCACACTCACAAGTAGATTTAAAAAAAAAGTTTCTTCAGTTTTAAACTGTATGACTCTATTGCCTCTGAAAAAAACCTACAAAAGGGTGGTGCTATCCACAACTCATAACAAATTACCAGATTCCCTTACCCCTTCATTTTGCCTGAAGAGCCCACTATACTTAGTCTTCCCACTTATTTCACAGTCATGTTCTGTTTGTGCAAGTTTGCTGTCATCCACAATTTCAGCACTTACCCATGAACATGACCGACTTCAAACTGAAGATATATCAACAAATAAAGAGAAAAAGTGGTTACAGAGAAGCAACAAGGATCAAAAAACTGTCTACACACCCAAATCGACACTCTCCCATAAAATAAACCTTCAATTGACCTACAACCTGTTGGAAGCACCAGTTCCACAAGTGATGCAGGAAATCCAGGAGCTCTTAAGAGTTTAGATCGAGGCTATTTAAAATAAGTTCTTCATCCCTTATATTCAAATGCTTTGATGATGGGGACATTATAAATCATCTTATTTAGCTGAAATGAGATAAAAGCCCTGAAAATAATCAATGGAGTGTGAACCCCATGCTAGGCAACAGACACAGATAATACAATTGCACTGTGCATATATACATACATTTAGAGCATATACTTTAAGTATCAGTACTGAAAATTATATGCTTTCACATAACTGTACGTGCATAATACTTCTTACCTGGTGGGAGTTCAGCCTCTGAAACACACTGATGTCTCCAGAAGCTAATGGCAGACCTTTCTCTGTTCTGCAGTCGACACAACCTCTCAGCTAGCCCTCCTCTGCAGAGAATAAAGGAATGTTCAATTTTGCCAAGAATCAGTATTCACTTTTGCCAACTGACAAGCCATAGGACAGATGGAATATCTATGCTTTTACCCTTAGAGACAGAAATATAGGGTAAAATTACATTTTACAGATTAGTTCATCTAATTTAGATTTTTCCATGGGTATACACCCAATAAAACACACACTTAGGCGCAATACACAAAATAAAACATTTTTATTATCTGGGTATTCAAAACCTCAAGTTTTCAGTCTTTCTCCTACACAAGGATTTTAAGGAAAGGTTTCCAAATTTTCTCTGTACATATCCTGATAGATACTAAAGACAATTCTGAAATCAAAACAAATACCCTAAATGGTTCAGTATAACCACCAGTTATAACAGGTTGGGTTTTTTTTTCCCTCCAGATTTGTTTGTCTGTTGGCAAGGAGTGATCAGAAAAATATTCTTTTACCCATACTTGACCCTATGATTCATTTCACAAGCTGGGTCAAGTGTGCAGTTTCAGTGGTCTGAACACTCTCCAAGAATGAATTAATTCAGCATTCCCAAGGTGAGGTGGAGAGGAGTGGCATCTAAAGCATACACACTTAAGGTAACACTGAAGCAATTCCCATTCCTGGATTCAAATCTAGAAGACCTCAGTTTCCTACTGGGAGGACAAAAAGATTACTATGTTAGAAGTCATATTTGGGTTATTCCAAAGAGCTGTGGACTACCACAGGAGTATGTGAGCATTTTTCTTTGGCTTCAAACAACTTATTTGCATTAAAAAAATACCTTATTCTTTCCTTATAGTGCAAGTTTTCTCCACAATGAGAGCAATCCACTCTATCAATAAAGGTTTCTACTAAAGTGAAATGCGTCTTTGGGTTAACTTAGCTTAGGAATCAGAGATAGCATAAGAAGACCTTATGATTATTTGTGCATATGAATGGTATTTTTCAGAAAAAGTAAATAGGTTGGCATGGCTAACATTGCAAATGTGAAAGTGGGAGGACTCGCACCTATGGAAACCAAGAAGGAGCTAAAAAGTCTAAGCAGCACTTCCGGTAGGCCATAAAAATCTTTCTTTGGTTAGTAATTGCTAACAGTGACTTCACTTGCAGACAAGCCAACAGGCTATACAAAAACGAGTTAGCAGTCTCAGCTGAACTTCTAATGAATTATGGATTTGCAAAATCGTAGCTATCACAAGAATTAACAGATGCCATGGCTGAACACTGTAGCAGTGAAGACCATGGAATGTATACTCTGAAAAACAGGAGCAATGTTTAACCCAGAGTGATTAAAATTATGTAGTTTCCATTACAAAATCACAGAACGGTTGAGGTTGGAAGGGACCCCTGGAGATCATCTAGTCCAACCCCCCCCTCCTCAGCCAAGATCACGTAAAGTACATTGCCCAAGACTGTGTCCAGATGGCTTCTGACCATCTTCAAGAATGCAGACTCTACAACCTCTCCGGGCAACCTCTTCCACTGCTCACTCACCCTCACAAGCGTGCCCCCCCCCCCCCCCAGCCTTCTTTTCTCCAGGCTGAACAGGACCAGCTCTCACAGCCTTTTCTCATACGAGACATGCTCCAGTCTCCTAATCATCATCGTAGCCCTCCGCTGGACTCTCTCCAGCAGTGCCATGTCTCTCTCGTACTGCGGAGCCCAGCACTGGACACAGTACTCCAGGTGAGGCCTCCCCAGGGCTGAGCAGAGGGGCAGGATCACCTCCCTCCACCTGCTGGCAACACTCTGCCTAAGGCAACCCAGGAGACCCTTGGCCTTCTTGGCCACAAGGGCACACTGCTGCCTCATGCTTAACTTGCTGTCCACCAGCACTCCCAGGTCCTTCTCTGCAGAGCTGCTTCCCAGCAGGTCAACCCCCAGCCTGTCCTGCTGCATGGGGTTATTCCTGCCTAGGTGCAGGACCCTGCACTTGCCTTTGCTGAACTTCCTGCCGTTCCTCTCCGCCCAGCTCTCCAGCCTGTACAGGTCCCTCTGAAGGGCAGCACAGCCTTCTAGTGTGTCAGGCACTCCTCCCAGTCTAGTATCATCAGCAAACTTGCCGAGAGTGCACTCTATGCCTTTACAGTCCCCAGTAACTGCACTTTTTGCAGCACTTTGTCCCCATTACTGCAATCTTTTCTATAACTGTTGTGGTAGGACAAGGAAGAGAGAAACTCTGAGATGCTAAATTGCCATCTTTCAGAAGAGGAAAAAAATCCCTCAACCCAAAAAAAACAAAGAACCCTCTCTCAAGAAGCTATAAAACCTGTTATATCAAGGAGGAAAACAAACAAACAAAACCAAGAGCAGCACAGTCAAGCTAAGCACAGAACCTTACACAAATTAGAACACTCTGCTCAACCTCATTTCCTCCTAAATTTGAACACACAGGTACTACTGCACCATCATAGCTGTGGACACCAAATTCGGTCCACCCAATTATTCTTCCCAGCAGGCTACAGTTCACGGCTGCAGTCCTATTGCAGCTTGGCTGCATGGGCTCCCCAAGCCATACTGGAAACTAGTTCAGTCAAGCTATGCCTAGAAGTGCATCAGTTAAATGCATTTTGAGTTTGCTTGCATGCTTAAGTCTTGCATGCATGAGTCTGCAATTAAACCCTGCAGTGGACTACAGCCATACATGAAACAGCTAGTAGCGCAAAAACGTGTTCTGGTGAAAGAAAACTGTTCAGCAGAAGTGTTCTAAAACTTTACCTCATTCCCTCCACAAACCACATTCAACTAAATGTCTTTTGTTTGTTGAAGCAACGCTAGGAAGCCTTCCTTTTATCCAGTAGCTGTGCTTAAGGCACCTACATAAAAAAGCAGCTATTTCAAGCTCACAGTATTCTTCCTCCCTCTCCTTGAATGTAGTTATAGTTGTGCCCAGTCAGTCACCCCCTGCTGTTCTGGAAGCCCACTATCAGCTGCGGCAGAAGCATTCTGCAACATGAAAGGAAGCTACGTCCTAGTTTCCTCACTATTGCATGCAGCTGAAATAGCACACTCTTGTTTCAGGCCTGATATGCCTACCAGGGAAGGGAATGAATGCTTTACTCTAACACTTACAACTTCTTTACTAATTTGCTAACCATTTCTATAGTAGGACAACAGTTATCGCAAAGGTTCATGAAAACTCAAAACTATGCCTTTCCTTAGCAGCCCTTAGTGCAAATAAAAGTCTTTATTAATAATCATCCTTCCATTCACATTCCAAGTGCAGTAAAAATAGTTTAAACAGAAAGCGTAACAGAGCACTCTGCATCTGCTTGCTTGCAGTATATAAAGTATAAACAAGAATGCATTTATGAGTAGTTCTCAGTTGCTCATTGGAAATACTTTTTTTCAGGGTCTGTTTTGTACATTGTGAAATTACAAAACACAGTTAAAGGGCACGCCATGTACAAGAGCAACTTCCACAGCAAAAGAGACAGTTGATAGTATATGGTTTGTTTCTTTTAAAAAGCAAAAGCAAAAAATAAAATTAAAAAAAAAAACCCACTCCAAAACCAGGAGAATCAATACCTTTTTGAGCTCAAACATTTTTCAAATACATATACGTGTGCTTTCTATTGCATATTCTGACAGATTTGATGACAATGACATTTGAGAACCATTAATTCCTTTACATACAGTACAGGTACACACATTGTTGAGAATGTGGTATAATGCTGTGAGATAATATGAACTATACAGTCATCATGTACATATGAGAGATCATAACTGAGATTTGCACAAAGCACAGTATGGTATTAAGCAGGTGCCAGCTTTAGCATAAGAACAAACTCCATGTTTTGCAAAGAGTGAAACGATTGATGTTACTATTGTTTTATTCTCATTTACATATCTATGATTATTATATAGCTAATGAGCTTTTATATTCAGTCTTTTGTAGTCAGCTGGGTTTACTGTATGGAAGTGACTTTTTGCTTATTTTGGTAACATAAGATAAAGATGAATGATATTTACTTTTCATTGCTCACACATTGTCCCTCTGAAGATTTTTCTAGCTTTCCTGGCTTTCAGCTAAGCATGCCTGTAGAAACTGTTTGACTTAATTTTGCCAGATGCTCCAAGCTTTGTTGGCATCAAGGGTGGAGACGGTATTCTACAATGCAAGGTCTTGTTTAATCTGCAGTCTTTATTTCTTTACGCATCTAGCTGCTACAAGGAGCTAGTTCCCTCTTTTGGGCAGATCTAGCCCTTCTGATGCATTTAATCATCCCACATGACTAGCCTACCTTCTGGTGTATATATACATCTAGAATTAGTAAATATATTTTGATTACTAATATACGATTTCTGTAATCAAGAAAATTGACAGTTTGTATTTAAATAACAAACAGTATAATTTGAGATGTGCATCTTACTGATCAGCACTTCAAATATGAAGATTTCATTTTACTATTAAACTGAAAATGGCCAAATATTTAAAAAATGCAAAAACAAAGCAACTGTTCTTCAGAACTAAAAAGCTCATCCAAAGTGAGAGATTTAGGAAAAAAAGGGTTAACATTATGTCACATATCTTAAGATAGCCATTTCCCGACCTGAAACCCAAACTTCAGTGTTGTTTTTTCTTTTGCTGATGGAAATAAAATCTTACTAGAAAAAGCAAACAATTCATAAAACCTTCAAGAGAGATTTATTTGTAGACCAGAAAAGCTGAGTGCATAGATTTTTGAGTTTTCTTGTTTACAAATATTAAACAAACATAGTTATTGGTTTAACCCATAACAAACTTTATGAGACTTTGGATACGTTCTTCATTTCTCCCTTCCTTTACAAGGGAACTTTGAAAGAGTTAAAACTAGTGCAGTTTCAATGCATTCAATGGTGAATGACTGCACCATGCTAGGTCTCCCTGCACACCATGGCAGAGAGAAGAGCAATCTGCTCAGAACAGCTTTGAAAAACAAAAACTACCATTACAGGGGATATACGAAGAGATACTAGAATCTGGCAAATGGGCGCAGAATATATCAAGCAGCAGGCATGGCATGGAAAGATAAATTGCTTCTGCCACACCTTTTTTTTTTCCACAGATGCAGATCACTTCAAAACTCCACTTAATTCATAATAGAGGAAGATTGCAAAATCTTCCTTCGATTTTTACTCACCATAAAGCAACTTTATATATTTTTCATGGTTTTGGGGGGGAAAAACTGGCTTCTCATTTTCTTTCCACTCCAAGATATTGAATTTAAATTTACATTTCTAACACTAGGATTATTACAATTTATTTAAACCATCCATACATTTCTGCTCTCCGTGTTAGTTCTTATCATTCTCCACAAAAAACAAGAACACCTTTAATAGGAGCAGTCTATCACAGTCAAACAAACTGAAAACAATATTCTTTCCTCCCATTCCAGGCAACCACCCATTTCCATTTTAGCAATAGGATCATTTTAGGCAGAAAGCACAGCAGAAAGTTAATTTATTTCAACTTTTCCACTTTTTTTTTTTTTTTTGATGGGGGTGGATGGTGGTGTTTGAGCTTGGGTATGATAATGTAGCCATGGAGGTAAGAGGAACACAGCTGTGATCAGGTAATGTGATCAGGTAATAACGCAGAATGTAGTATAGTTAAAGAATACTGGAAGAGAGAGAGTTATACATAAGATTTTTCAGAAAATATACGCTAAAATTTTCTGAAAATATCCTCTCTACCTGTTGAAGATGACCTTAGTCATCTCAAACAGCAAAGAGATGAAAATAAATCATTTCTCTCTTCTCAAAAGTGAACAACAATATAGGAGGACTATTCTACTTGCACCAGGACTTTTGTAAGAATTAAACCTACTAATATGATATGGTTTTGGATTAGAACCTTTCTCACAAAGGAATTCACACAGAAAGACTACAGCTCTATCACCTGCACCAACCTCCTCTCAACCCACACTTGACTTAGCACCAGTTCAAAAGGAGTGAGCTCAGCTAAGTACAGAAGCTCTCTTCCACCTACTCCTCAGTTTAAAATGGTCTAAGTGGGAGCCTGCAGGCCAGATCCAGCTTGCAGGATCATTTCCCTCACTCACTGTTTTTTCTTACTGTGGCCTCAATCTGCAGGGGGTGGGGAGAAGGAACAAGAAAGAAAGAAGCAGCAACTTGTAAATAGCTTTTAGCTATATAACTGGAAAGAAAGGGTTGTCACTTTATCAATCAAGAAATCGATAAATCTTCCCCTAAACTGGCCTCTAATCCACAGCACTGAAAAACAGAACCTTTCCATTTAGGATGCAGACTCTTACATACACTGTTGGTATACTAGTGAAAACGTTCTTGGTCAACAGCAAAAGGTAGAATGGAAGAGAGAGACCCCCAGACTCAATGCCCTGCATGTGAGAGGCAAACAGATGACAGATACCTGGACAATCAAATAACTAGATATATGAAACTCGTAACTGAGGAATTTCCTGCTTGCTTCCCTTTTCCCAAAGGAACTAAAAGTGGTAGCATAGGTTGGAAGAGTAAAAAAAAAAAAAAAAAAAAGGGGAACAAAGGTTTGAAAAGAAAAAAAAAAAAAAAAAAAAAAAAACTGCCTTAAGTTGTGCTCCTGTCTACCCATTCTGGACAGATTACATTCTGCACTGTAAGAGCAGTTTACTCTCTTATACAATGCAGCGTCTTTGCTGTAAAGTATAGTCTTGCACTAAGATAGTTGGTACTAAAGGTCACCAAATGAAGCTGGTAGATGCAGATTCAAATGACATTTAAGCTATGGAACTCCATATCATGGGATGTTATTGCAGCAGCCAAAAATTTATATAGCTTTAGAAAACAGCTGGATAAACTCACAGAAAGACAAACCCATCGAGGGTAACAAACAGTCCCTGAGTTGTTAGCTGCTGAAAGCTCAAAGAATATCTGGGTAAGTTACCAGTATACGATTGTCCTGTTCTTGTAACATTCACACATACTTTGGTCTGAACTAGTGCGGTTGTTCTTAAAACAATGAGAAGTTAAGCCTGATCACACAGGTAAAGCATTTTCTTCCATATAGAGATCCTCAGTAATTAAGTAAAATTTTAGATCTGTTCCCTCAGCCATATTTTGGAAATAGCCAAAAAAATTTTGAAAGAAAAATAAGGTATGCCTATTTAGCCAAATTGAAGATTTACTGTTTAAGTGCCATGTTTTCTGATTGATTACTGTAGGCAGAATTGGCTGTAGCAAAAGTGAGAAAGAATTATATCATTAAAAAAAAAAATACAGTAGGTGTCTAAAGGAGCACTGTTGACAACTTCAGTTTCTGTAATATGAGAAATACCCCTACATATACCATGCGAGTTAAAGCTGCTTTACTGAAATCAATAGAGGAAGTGACTATTTCTGCACTGTAATTAGCTTGATAAATACTGAATCATGAACATCAGACTTCCACTGCTCAGATTCAGGCTGTTTCCTTTCAGCAGTTAGATTATCTTTTTAATGTATTTAATTTAGTCACAGACATTTAAATTTCAGATGAACAAATATGTTCCACCCTAGCCTAAGTATCACACTGTCCTGCCTTAAGCACTATTGCTCATCCACGCCTTTCACACACTACTTAGAACAATTTTACCCTGACTAATTTGTAAAGAACCAAAAAAATCAGAGGCACAGCATTTTTGCAGACTATCTGAACCAGCACAAAGAAGTAAAATGATTATAAGCTAGAAGAGAAGTATGTACACTCAGTTATGTGTAAGATGCTTTAAAGCATTATTAACAGTGCAAAAAATTGTATCAATTTGTACACAGGAATTCAAGGTTAAATGCTATCACCATATATGTTAACACTGAAATAAGTTCTCTCTTTTCTTGATCGGTTGTTTACAGATAAACGACATTCTTTAAGTTTTTGGAATACGCATCTTTAAAATATTTATCCTTGAAATCCATTCTTACTCTTTTGTTAGTTAACTTGAATTATTTCATTTACAATAAATTTTCTTCTGAAGAAGGACAGGACATTTACCTTAGTAACTTCCTCTTTTTAGCAGAATCTTCTGGGGTTCTTGCGGCCCTGTCTGACTGTTTCTTAGGTGTTTGTAGAAGAGCCTGTGCAGACTTTAGCCAGTCACTGGCAGGTCTTGCTGTAACTTCCCCCATCTCCAATGCTGCACTCAACTGTAATCTCTTAGTGAATCCTGGATTAGTAGTCTCCGCACCCATTTCTCCTTCTTCCACACTGTCATTATCAGATGAATATTCAAAAATTTCTGTTGAAGTTGTCTATACATAAAAAAAAAAATAGAAGTTATTTCAACAGAATGCTAGCAAGATTGATTTATATTGAAAAAAAAATCTGGTTTACATTCTACTACAGGTTTGTGCAGAGAGTTATTTATGTTCTCTATTGACCCAAAAGTCAAGTGCCAATTTGTTGATTAATATAACTTGGACAACTTCACTGTAACTACATAGTAACCTTTTCTAAGTCAATACAAACTCCTGACTATAAAGACTGTCTGTTGAGGGACAGCTGGGATGAGTAATAAATGTATTTTTAAAATAACTAGATCTGAAGAATTCATCAAAATATAAGCCGATGTTCTATCAGGATAAGTTTCCAAACAGGTGTCAGGATTAAAATAAGTTTACAGGCAAATAGAAAGAGGCTAATGAGGGAAAGGGAATCATGATCAGCAGGTGCACTCTACACACACTTAAGATCTGTTTAAGGCAGGGCAGATTCACCCCATTCTCAGAGGGAGTGCACCTACTTAAAATAAGAAATCAAGATTCTTCATTGCCAGGAAGATGATATATGTAAAAGTCTGGTAAATAACAAATTTTTTTCAAAAAACACACTAGACTGGCATTGTATTTCAGTAATGAAGAAAGATGATGCATGCATCCAAATGGAGGATGGCTGAAAGGAGTGGAGCTTTCACGGATGGATTCAAATAAGTAGGAACGTCCTGCAATTTAAACTGAGGAAAGAAACATACATGTCTGTGATGACAGTGTGTGAAACCCTGACTGGCAAAAAGCATTTAAAATTTTATTAGAACAAGAATTTGACAACTAAAGCTAGACTTCACACATGTCCAGGCCTATAGCTTATAGGTAAGATTTTAAAAGTTTAGCACCCAGACTTGGAAGCTATAAGGCCATATTCACATAAATCCAAAGAAGATTACTGGTCAACAGCCAGGACCATGAACAAGCATGCAATAGAGTCCATACTCCTAAGAACTTGCTGAAGCCCTTCTTACAGAATTCATAGGACATACAGAACCAAGAAAGGAAGGGAGAGAGGAGAGGATGAGAAGGTGCCAAAATAAATATGGAAATTGACATGAAAGGTCGAGAAGAGTGCTGACAATGAAAATTACCTCCTTTGGCCCAGCTTGCTCCTCCTGGGATCTAGCACAAGCAGGACACAGCAGCAGGTTTGGCTCCCTAATGTAAGCTATGCAGAGTTCAGTTCTGTTATGTAAATTATGCTCTGTTGACCGGATATTTCTTGAAGTATGTACTAAGGAACACTAAGGAAAAATACTTGGGAAGTGACATTTTACCTAGTACTGATTGAAATGGCCCAAAACTCTGAAGTAGGCAGGAGACTAAGAAACACAAGGTGAGCTCAGTCTTTGGGAATTAGGTGGAAGAAAATTTTCTAAGATATCTCCAAGTCTTCAAATAAGATACGGGCCCTCTCTCAGTCAAAAAGTATATACTGCAAATGCATTTAACTGCTAGGTGAAAGTTTCATTCACAGTTTCTTCCTAACAGATACGTTCTTAAGAGCTGATGTCTTTTACGTACAGTAACAATTCTCAACTTCACAGAAACAAATGCAAATCTAGAATCACTCTACAACTTCTAGTAAGACCTTGTTTCTTTCATTAGGAAGACTTACATCTGACATTCTTAATCCTTCCAATTGTGAAAAATAGTCAGTGAACCATCCAGGCATCTGTTCATTTAGATTAGTACCAAGTACAACTGTTCATTTCTTAACAAGAGAATGACACAACTCCTTCAATAGATGTTTTAATAAACCGATTTGTTTACTGAAAGAGACTTCAATGGAGTAATACCACCTGTAAAACTCTGCTAGAGCTGAGCTACAAACTATGTTTACAGTTGAGTTTTTTGTCACATTCCCCCATAATTCTAAGCTGGTTAAAGATAAAAAAGCAGTACAAGTCCTGGTGGGGTGAGCATACTAGCAGTCCCATCAGTCATGGCAGAACCACTAGCATTAGCCTAAGTCTAGGAGAGTCGGACAAAACTGTTCTCTAGAACAGGCGAGTTACGCAACTCAGTCTTATACCTGAAAGAACCAAAAACCAATGGATAACTGCAAAGTATTATGTTTGCAATACTAGTGGGAAACCGAGGAAAAACAAAAAAATTTAAGATTGACTTTGCTCCAGATAATGGTGCCCCAATCATAGAATAGGTCCTGGAAAGAATTAACCTGTTTTTCTTGTCTAGTGCAGTAAACAGCTCTCCACACAGGTAGTTTGAACAGACAAATGGCTCTGCTAAGGACTTTAATGACAAAAGGAGAGCAAAAAATAAAATCACTGAATTCACTAACAGTGTTGTACATTACTAAATGGTTTAATTATGTGAAACTAACATGGTATTTCTTGACTTTGTAAAAAAAAAAAAAAAAAAGAATAAAGCCATTGTTTGTTCTTTAATATGTTCTTAACGTAAATTATGCATTGCATTAACATTTTAAGAACTTACCTAAATATTCTGGAAATTGGAAAGATCTTTTTAAGTTATCCAGAGAAGAACAGCTAAGAGAATGTAATTAATATCAGCCTGTGATTTTTCGGTTTAAACACAACACAGTTAACATTTGTCCCTTGGCAACAACATTTCTCTGAAAACAAACTCCTTCCACACTGGAAAACAGCCAGAAATAAAAGATTTCAAATAGTACTAAAGCAGTAAGCAAGCTCTTCGTTCTTAAACATCATTTTGAGATATTCCTTTGCTTTAGGAGTGCTTTAATTTTACTCAAATTACTACAATATTCATGGCCTCAAGAAAAAGGATGCAAATCTGAAGTTCTCTGTGCAAGCAAAATGCAAACAAGAAACACCGCTGGGACTTATTTAAAGTTAAGCACATGTTTTAATCCCACTTTAAGAGTTATGAAGCTTTCCTAAGTAAGGATATGTCTAATAAATATCATTTAATATTTTTGCTCGTATCTATTATTGTATACTTGTTTGGACTTAGCTTCCCTAAGAAAACCGTATTTGAGGGGGTTTTATAATTGGTCAGTTGGAAACTTTTTTTTATAAGAGGAAGTTATGGAAACGGAGAAGAAAAACAAGAATAAAAATCACATTTTCCAATGCTGTACATTGTTTAACTTTAGCCACCACCAGAAATATATTCTGAAGAGAAAAATATTTTCAAAATTTACAAACATGATTTTTCACACATCTACTTCATAAGCTGGCATGTCTACCAACGTTATTGTGGTGGCCATGAGGCTATAAATTTCATTAAATTTATTAGGTTCGTTTTAAAAAAATCATTGATAAAAGGTAAACAAATTGTTTATTGTTTTAAAATATCTTAAACATCATGAAGTTACATTTTCAAGAGGTTTTTAATTTTTTTTCCTTAATAATGTCATCCGCAGGAATATCACCAAGAGTTTCTAAAGAGTATCATTATTAAGCACATAGAAGTGTCAAATTAAAAGTAGGTGACTTTTCCACATTGCTTATTATTTTAACAATAAATGACTATATTTCATGTGGCCAATAGCACACACAGACTCAGTTTCCCCACTCCATCCTCAATGACACCTTAATCCTTTCCTCCAACCCCTTTTGAGCCCAACCTCATCCTGCAGTTTTCCATGACTGTCTCCCATATATCCCAGTGACTCCAAGGCCTCAGTAGCGGACTGTTCACTAAGATTACCCATCATCTCCAGTGATGACCTTGTCATAACACCCTCATCTATATCATCCTAACCTCTCTTCCATTTTTAAGAGCTGAGTGGAAAAAAACACAAGGACTGACCTGACTACGACTCCCACTAAGATGACAAACATGGCTTATTTGGTTTTGGAATAATCTGATTTGCTCTGTGACTGGTTTGATTTGAAAGGTTTTGAATACTCCTCCTCCTCTTCAGGGAAAAATAACTTTAGAATAAATGTACAGAACTGCTATTTTTTTCCAATGAGATTTGGCTACAGAAAAAAAAAGTTGGTGACTACTGCATTAGAGCATCCAGAAGCCTATAGAGTAGTCTTTTAAAGATATGCATGTTTAAATAAAAATGCATCAAAAGAGAGCTCTCAAGATGAATTAATTCACAATGCATTTTTGACAGCACTCACCAGTACTAGCTAACATATGGGGTGGTATAGACCTAAAAACAGATACCAGAATCAGAAACAGCAAAACTGTCCCCTGGCTAAACAGTTAAGATTGCTAAAGACTACATGATAAGCTGTTTAAATATGTTAAATAAAAAAGTAGAAACAGTAAAATCCTGACCCTAATTACTCAGTGATAAAGCTCTGACTTCAGTGAAAGGAAGATAACCTCCTATAAGCACATATACATTTTGCACAGAGGGCAGCACAAACGATAGTAAGATGTTAACTTCTGTCATCAAATACTCCTTTCCTTCCCTTCAAAAAGTTTCCTTAATCTGTCCGTTATTCTGCCTTGAATGCCTTAGTTGTTCTTTAGCAGTGTTTTTACCGTCTGCACAACACCTGCCCAAAAAAAGTCTGGAAAAACTACCCTTAACTACCTTAACAGTGAAAGCATGAAATATGCCTATTTGGTCATTTTAATAAGAACACTGGACATTTCATATTAGCTAGCAATAAGCTAATATGAGAAGTTTTAAATTTCCATTCAAATGGTGCACAGTATAAGAGAAAGGCAGTTTAGAGAGCATACGATATGGATTTCAATGTGGAAAGCAGAACTGTACAAAATTTTCTGTATAAACAGAAAATTAACATATCATAATCCTACTTTAAAAAACCTAATAACTTCCTATTTTCAAAAAGGCTATAATTATATAGTGATTGGCAATTAGAAGCAAGCAGATGACCAGCTGGGAGAGTTTCTCACCCCACCACCTTGGCTCTCCTCGCAACATACGTTACTCACGGAAACTTTTCTGCGGAATAATCTCCATGTATACCATACACTTGTACCTGCCAAACGCTGTCTTACTCATTTAGCTATCACACATTCACAAAGTGTTGTAAACTTTTTTC